GGGGTTGGGCTGGGTGAGCTTTCCAGGTCCCTTCCAACCCCTGGGATTCTGTGATTCCCTGCTGGAGCTGGGGAGCAAGCCCAAGGAATCTTCCTGGAGCAGGGAGGTGCTGGAGGGAGGAAAGGGGGTGGTTGGGCATCCCAGCCTTTCCTCAGGGAGCCTGGAGTCATGGGGGGCAGTGAGCAAAGTCCAGCACTTAATGACCCTCCCTACAATGGTGCTTTGCTGGGGGCCCAGGAGGTGCTGCTGGGAAAATGCCCAGTTCCTTTCCTGGTGAAGCCAACCAGAGCCTTCTGGTTTGGGAGAGGGTGGTGAGACAAGGGTTTAGGGGTTCAGCTCTGGATCTGCCTCCAGCCTGGAGAGGTTGTGTGGACTCAAAGCAGAACTCCCCATGCTGGGCTGCAGGCAGGGGGATCAAGATTTGCTTCTTGGAACACTCAGAAAGAAAAGACTCAAAACTTCCAACTGAGCTTTTCTCCATCACCTCTGGTTCCTCAGCACAGGAGTCCCTGCAGAGCCAGTCTGGGTGGGTGCCCCTCCTGCTGGCCCTGCTGCACGAGTACACAGCCAGCAACTCCCACTGGAAGCCTTATCTATCCCTCTGGAAGGACTTCAGGAGCCTGGACCACCCCATGTTCTGGTGAGGTGCAACCAAGCAGGGCTGGGGGGTGGCCTCCTTTGAGAGCTGGGGCTGCTGACCAGGGTTGGATCCCATCCTGCTGTTCCAGCCCTGGCAGGAGCCTGAGGGACCTGGAGCTCCAGGCACAGCCAGAAAGCAGGAAATCTGGAGAGCATCAGGAAGATGAGCTTTTTGAAGGCAAAAGGAGCTGCTAAGATCCTTCTCCCTGGGGCAGGTGGAGATAAACCTGCTGCTTTTCCTGCAACAGGCCTAAAGAAGAGAGAACGAGGCTCCTGCAGGGCACGGGCATCCCTGAAGCAGTGGACAAGGACCTGGCCAACATCCACATGGAATACAGCTCCATCATCCTGCCCTTCATGCAGGCCCACCCCGACCTCTTTGACCCCAAGGTGCACACGCTGGAGCTGTACAAGGAGCTGGTGGCCTTTGTCATGGCCTACAGGTGAGAGGGGGGGAGCAGGACCCCAGGAACGATCCCAGGCTGCCCAACTTTGGGAAGTGGAACTTGGAAGGTGGAGCTTGCCCTGTGTGCTACAAGGTGTCCAACTGGCTTGTCTTCATCTCCCTCAGCTTTCAGGAGCCTTTGGAGGAGGAAGATGAAGATGAGAAAGGGCCCAACCCTCCGATGATGGTGCCTGTGGCAGATATTTTGAATCACGTGGCCAATCACAACGCCCACCTGGAATACTCTCCCGTGAGTGCAAAGCTGCTCTGTCGGGACCAGCAGGGCCTGGTTCCTCTGGCTGCCAGGCTGGTGGGAAGTGCTGGCAGAGCAGGATTCCCCACCCCCTGATGCTGCCAGGCTGTGGGAAGTGCTGGCAGAGCAGGATTCCCCACCCCCTGATGCTGCCAGGCTGTGGGAAGTGCTGGCAGAGCAGGGTTCCCCACCCCTGGAGCCAGGAGGGGCTCAGGGTGGCACCGCAGCAGCTCCCAGCGCCTCTTCTCCCCCTGCTTGCAGCAATGCCTGAGCATGGTGACAACAAGGCCCATCAGCAAAGGTCAGGAGGTCTTCAACACCTACGGGCAGATGTCCAACTGGCAGCTCCTGCACATGTATGGCTTTGCCCAGCCCTTCCCTGGCAACACCCACGACACAGCCGACATCCAGATGGTGACCCTGCGCCGCGCCGCCCTGCGCCGTGAGTGGCGCCCGAGCCGGGAGGGGGCAGGGACCTCAGAGAGGGATGTCCTGGAAGGGGGATGGAGGGATGATGGAGCAAGGAGTCCCTGTCCCACAGCATGGCTCTGGTTTTCTGCCTCCTGGCTCCCTGGGGCTGCAGCTCTGCTGTCTCCAAAGCAGGTGCCAGGAGTGAAGCAGAGCAGCAGCTGGTCCGTGAGCAGTGGGACTTCTTGTGCCAGCTGGAGATGGTGGGGGAAGAAGGTGCCTTTGTGCTGGGCTGGGATGAGGTGCTGACAGAGGAAGAGCTGTCCACAAGCCTCAAGGTGAGCACTGCCCAGTGTACAAGCCAGTGCAGTGAAGGGGACAAGGCTGTGAGGGCATTTTGGTACCAGCACTCCTGTGTGAAGAGTGACAGGGAAAGTAGTTGCCCGTCTCCCCAAGGTTCAGGTGCTCTTACTGTCATTGTCCTCTCCTGAACTAACCCTTCTGACCTGCCCTACAGCTCTGGGGCTGATGCTGCTGTTCTAGAGAGTTCTGTACCTTTGTGGGCAGCAGCCAAGATGTCCTTAAAGACTGTTCAACACCCAGGTTTGCTTTCTGAATGTTCTTCTGACCCAGCCGTTGCTTGTGGTGAGGGATCTACAGCCAGTTTCACTCCAGCTCAGGAACAATTCACCTGCTCCACACAGCAGTCAGGACCACACTTGTGTAGAGAAGCCAGCCAGAAGCCAACCACAAACCTGTCTCTCTGCCTGTCATTCCAGGTGCTGTGCATGTCAGAAGAGGAATTCAAGGAGTACAAGGAACAGGATGGCTGGGAGGATGACAGTGAGGAAGAGGAAAACTCAACCCTTTCTAACGAGGCTCTCTCCAGGCTGAAACCTTCTTGCAAAAAGCTCCTTCATGACAGTGTTTTGCTGACCCTGGAGTCCTACAGCTCAGACCTGAAAGAAGACCAGGACTTGTTAAATAACAAGGAGGCTTTTGGGAAGCTGAGCAGAAGGGAGCAGCAAGCTCTGCACGTGCGGTACGGGCAGAAGAAGATCCTGCATCAGGTGCTAGAGCTGGTGCACTAGAAACCTCCTTTGCCTCTGGAAATGAACTGCCTGGAATGTGCTCAGGAAGGGCAGGTCAGCCTTTGGCCATCCCTTCTGCAGGAGGTGGAAAGATGAAACATGGATCCACTTGCCCCTCAAGAGGCACGTGGCTCTGTAGCCACCTCTACAGAAAGAAAACCTTCTGGAGCACAGAAGTGGGTTTGGGTGGCCTTGTTTTACAGAGCTCTGGAGCACACCTGGCCCCTCTGGAGCACACCTGACACCTCTGGAGCACACCTGGCCACCTTCTGCTGGAGCACTTCAGACCACTCCCATGTCCTCAAGGCTGCCTTAGGAAGGCAGACACACTTTGTCCAACCAAGGGAGTTCCCTCATGTAGCATCAGAAAGAGAAGGCTCCCATGTCCAGAGGAAAAGGACCAAAATCCAGCTGCTAGCTCTGGGCTTAGGCTCAGAGTAAACATCTGGCAGGTGTCAGGACCTTTAGCTGCATTGATATTCTTCCCCTCAGCAGTTCCTGCATGACAAGCCAGGTCTGCAGGACAAGCTCTATCTAATAAAGCCTGTTTCATACACAGCCAGTGCTGCCTCCTTCCAAAAGGGGTGGGGGGAGTGTGAATCTTTACTGCTGCAGCTTCAAATGTTGCAACCAAGCAAACCCCTGGGTAGGTGAAGGTCAGATATGACCTTGACTTCAGTGCTGGGGGCCAGGGTGGTGTCACATTCCCTAGGGTGCTTGTCTTCCCTTGGACAGGGGCAAAATGCTGTCACAGGGTCCAGTCTGCCATCTGGGCTCTTCTCTGCCATCTGGATTTTGGATGGAAAGGTTAGTCTTGATGAAGTGCCTTTTCCCAGGTCCTCTAGTGATCCCTGGGGAGCTGCCACCAGCCCTTGGTGACAGTACCAGGGGGGATGAAGTGCAGTGGCCTCCATCCCACCAACCCAACGTGTGTTACTGGGATCTTGGCTCAGTCCTGTCCACCTTCCACCTCCTCTTGACACCAGTTTCAGCTCTTCAAGCCTGCAGGGACCAGCCACACAGAGGAGCATTAGTACAGAACCAGAGGGACCTTTAGAGTCACCAGGCCAAGGCAGCAAGCTCTGCAGATGGTTTGCCAGAGATAAAGGGCAGGAAAAACCCACAGCATCTGGGCTAGATTAAGCAACCATGTGGTTGCTGATAAATCTCCCAAATCCTAATCCAATACAGGAGGATGAATAAACCGAATTTGCAGCACCAGACCAAAAAAAAAAACAAACCAAGTGAGCAGCTTCCAAGAGCTGTTTCAGCACAACTGCTGTCCTGCCAAGCAAATGCCAAGGAAATGCAGGATCTGGCAAGAAATGAACTCCTTTACACACAGGTTGCTGTAAAACACTGCCTAGAAACAGGTCCCAGATATTCCCCTTGAGCTGCAGCCCCCTGGATCTTGTGCAGCAAAAGCCCAGCCAGGTTGACAACCCCTTATGCCAGCAGGAAATCCTGACCTCTCCACTCCCACAACAGCAGCCAAGGAGCTTTGACCAGCTTGTTAGCTGAGCAAAAGCAAGTAGGGAAGCTGTGCTGCCTCATCCCTGCTGTGCTGCTGAGGCCAAAGGGTTTTGCAGCACCCCTGAAGCCCCCTCTGCCCTGGTTACAGCCCAACCAGCCTGTCTGCTGCCCAGGCCCTGCACCCCAACATTGCAACCACTCTCCTGTCCAGCACAGCTTCCTCAGAGCCAAATCCCACTAATCAACTTAGAATCATCAAGGTTGGAAGGGACCTTAAAAGATCATCCAGATCCAACCCCCCTGCCATGAGCAGGGAACCCACCACTAGACCAGGTTGCACAAAACCTCCTCCAACCTGGCCTTGAAAACCTCCAGGGATGGGGCATCAACAACCTCCCTGGGCAACCTGGGCCAGGCTCTCACCACCCTCACACCAAACAATTCTCTCCTCATGTCCAACCTCAATCTCCCTCTTCCAGTTTTAATCCCTTCCCCCTTGTCCTCTCCCTCCCTGCCCTTGTCCCAAGTCCCTCCCCAGCTTTCCTGGAGCCCCTTCAGGCACTGGAAGGTGCTCTAAGGTCTCCCTGGAGCCTTCTCTTCTCCAGGCTGAACACCCCAACTCTCCCAGCCTGGCTCCAGAGCAGAGCTGCTCCAGCCCTCCCAGCATCTCTGTGGCCTCCTCTGGACCCTCTCCAACAGGTCTAGATCTTTCTTGTGCTGAGGGCACCAGAACTCTATGCAAACTGTACTTCCCCCTGAGCTACTCCTGGCTCCAAACAGCTCTGTCCTTTTCCTTTTTGCCCCTAACAATTCTCCCTCTCTGACCTCAAGCCAGAAGAGCAGCTGGGGTGCTTTCAGGCAGTGTGGCTTAAAACACACTGGAAAACTTGGGATGGGTGGAACCAACTTGGAAAGGCATCAACTGGGCAGGTAGGATGGAAGTGGAGAGAAAAAGCACAGGGGCACGTGCTGCATGTCATGACTTTAATGTGTAACTACAGGATGCATACATACAAGAAGTGGGAGAACTAAAGCCCAAGAACTAGAAAGGCTACAAAATACAACACATGGACCAATACTTTACAAAACATTCAAAATCCTTACAAAATGGGCTGTATTGGTCCTTTGGGTTTTATGGTTTTGTGGGGTTTTTTTCCTTTTGGGGTTTGTTTGTGGTTTGTTTTTGTTTTGTTTTTTGTTTTTTTTGCTGTTTTGTTTTGGTTTTTTTTAACAAACTTATACTGTGTGGTCACAGGGTGGGAGGTGGGAAAAGGTTTAGATTTAACCCCCTCCCCATCCCCTTCCAAAATTTACAAGTGTAAAAAAAAAAAAAAAATAAAAGAAAAAAGAAAAAAGGTATAGGCCTGGTCTCTGGTTTCTTTACTAAAAACAGCTGCCCCTGTCCCCAAGGGCCTGAGGTGTGTTTTCTCCACCAGAAAGGCATCATCCTCTGCCTGCCACTCCACTTGCTGTCAGCATTTGATGAGGGTGGGTGGGGGGGAAAAGCAACCTTAACCCCTCCCTCACCCCTTCCCCTGCTCCAGAGTATTCCCATATATTCCAAACACAGCCACCTTTTTTTTTTTCCCTCTTGTAAAACAACTTAGTGATTTCAAGGTCCCCCATCCACATAAAGAAAAATAACTTACATAATATTATGAACTGGCTTTTCAATATTCTTTGGGAGTCTGGGAATGTCAGGACAAGGAGGTTTGCCCCAGACAAGTGCTTGGCATCAGCAGCTGCCCCTTTATTACAAGCTGGACAGGCACCAGTTCCCCACCTGCCTGTTTACACAATTTGCACAAACCCAAAAGTCCAGACAAACGTTTCTGTTCCTTGTATTTACACTAGTTCAAAATGATATTCACAGCATCTTCTGAATTTTGGCCAAAAGTCAACAATTGGTTGCAAACTTTGGAACGTGCCCACAATAAAAGACTTTCAACCCAGGGTCTTGTTGTGTCTACCCAATGGAGCAGGGCTGGGAAGGTCAGGAGGAGCCTTACGGAGTCTTCTGTCACTTGGTGGGATGGGGACCTCCAGGCTGGCACGTTTTCCAACACAAGATGCAGCTCATCTAACTGGCACCAGTCCCTTCCATGACTTGCTGGGCCTGCTTCTGCCCCATGCAGCACTGTGCAACTGACTGGAACAACCTGGACACGGGAGGAGAGCAGAGTGAGGTGAGTTGATGGCAACAAACTGTGCTTCCAAAAACTCCGGGTGCCATCTCAGCACCTGCTTCAGGTAGTGATTTTTGTGTCTTGGGTTATACTCACTTCTCAATCTCTGGAGCACAATGAACAAACTCATGGTTCCAGAACTTAAAGGCTGGATTTTTTATCAGCTCAATGAAAGTAATGAGGAGACCCCAGGGATGAGGCCTATTTACAATCAGTCGTTCCAAGAGAACCCTGAAATCCAAAAGCAAAAACAGAGCTTGAAGAGCTGAAATAGACAGAGAAATGAACAGCTGAGGTGCTGGCAAGTGAAATGCCCTCCCCTCTCACCTGGTGATCTGCTCCTGGATGGCCTCAGTGTTGGCCTCAGCAAAGAGGTACAGCATGGTGCAGCTGAAGTAGTGGGTGTGGCTGTTGGGGTAGCGCAGCTGGTTGGCGATGGCGTTCAGGAACAGGTACCGACCTGCAGGGGGAACAGGCAGAACAGGGTGTTCCTCAGAAAGGAATCAAGCAACAACCAGCTGCAGGTCGAGGGAGGTCATCCTGGTCCTCTACTCTGCCCTGGTAAGGCTGTGTCTGGAGTATTGTGTCCAATGTTGGGATCCCTGGGTCAAGAAGGACAGGGAAGTGCTGGAGAGGGGACAGCAAAGGGCTGCAAAGATGATGAGGGGATTAGAACATCTCTTTGATGAGGAAAGGCTGAGGGACTTGGGTCTGTTTAGCCTGGAGAGCACTGAGGGGCATCTTATCAGTGCTAATCACACAATCACAGAATCCCAGGGGTGGGAAGGGACCTGGGAAGCTCCCCCAGTCCAACCCCCCTGCCAGAGCAGGGGCACCCAGAGCACATCACACAGGAACATGCCCAGGGGGGTTGGAATGTCTCCAGAGAAGGAGACTCCACAGCCTCTCTGGGCAGCCTGGCCCAGGGCTCTGTCACTCTCTTCCAGTGCTCTGCCACTCTCTAATCAATACTTAAAGGGTGGGTGTCAGGCCCACCAACCTCAACACAGAAACAACCACCTAAACATAAGGGAGAACTTCATTCCTGTGAGGGTGACAGAGCCCTGGGACAGGCTGCCCAGAGAGGTGGTGGAGTCTCCTTCTCTGGAGACATTCCAAACCCACCCAGAAGCCATCCCATGCAAACTGCTCTGGGTGACTCTACTCTGGCAGAGGGGTTGAACTAGATGATCTCCAGAGGTCCCTTCCAACCCCCATCACTCTGCTGCTGCTCAAGGTTAAGGTTTGTGAACCTGCCTTGTGAAGGTGCAGGAGAAAGGTATGAAAAAGCCTCATCAACCCAAGCTGATGGGGCAGTAAGAACTGAAGTCCTCTTCATTA